TTTATGGGTTAACATCACATTAAACTGTCATGTGGTTGGTTTTGACATTGGCTGTCATGAGGCCATTATGACTGTGTCATGAATATTTTTCTTGACCTCAACTACAGTGGTACAAATTGAATTTGTCATTAAAATGTTATAATGGCCTCATGACAGCCAATGTCAAAACCAACCACATGACAGTTTAATGTAATGTTAACCCATAATAATCAATCTGCTGTGTCATGTTTATGACAATTTATGTTGTCTTGGTAATGTCAAGTTGTCATGACAAAGACACTGACAGGTTATGATGCATTGGTTTATGTCAAGTTGTCATAAAGACATCTCAAACAATGTCATATTTGCATTCAAAATGTCATAATTGAGTGAATGACACTTATTGACAGTTGTCATAAACATGCATAAAACCTCCTTCATATTCATGTCTCGTCATGATTATGAAGGTGTCATGTCAGTCTTATGCACAGCCCTTCAAGTAAAGTGTTACCATATAGACTACATAAAATCACACCTTAGTAAGATAAGTCAACATTTGAATCCCTTTAAAGTAGTTTTTTAAAATTGTTTTTACATTTGTATCATTAGATATTTGAATAAATTGAAACCAAATACTTAGTGTAATTGGTAATTTCTTAAAAAAAAAAAAAATCCTATCACTGGCGCACAATGAATTCAGAGGTGTGCAAGGCCGCGAAGGATCCATCTGTTGTATCCTTCATTGCCCGGGAAACGAAGGACGCATTTGGAGGAGCCTTCGATTTGGGACAACCTCCGTCACGGCGCTGTGACACAATCAGCCTTTGAATGTGTCCTTTAAAGGGATGCAGCCTCTGAATTGGGACGCCGCTGCTGTCCTGAGTTGTTCTGTGTGAAGGGACCCTTACTCTGGCCATTGCATGTGTGTGTCCATTATCTCCACGATGACCTTTTGTCATTTTAGGTTTCAGAAGAATGCTCACAAGTTCCCCCTTTGCAGGCACTTCTGGCCACACTTTGTGTCACTGACAGTCAAAGCAGCATTCCTTCATGAAAGTGTGGACTCGGAAGACAATGAGGGTTTGGTGTGCTATTTGGGTGTGCTATTCATGTTGTCACATGACTTGTAAGGCCCTGTCCCAAATTGTACCCTAAACACTTGCGATCTTCCTACAAGTCCCCACTTTTGTGATGTAACTCTGCTTTGACTGTCGGGGAGAAGTCTGGCAAAAGTGCGCATTGAGGGCGCATATCGACTGCAAAGGGGGCACTCGTGAGCACCCTTGTGAAACCTAAAATGACAAATGTGACACCCTGCGGTCTCGTGGACTTAATGGACACGCGACAGCCATTTTAAGTCCACAAGACCGTAAGTGCATAATGAAGTGTGCCATTTGGGACAGGGCCTAATTCTGGGATAATAATTGTCTGGGATGGGAATGATCTTGTAATTGATGCACCTAGTCTGAGATTAGTTGTGTAAAGTGCGCACTTTAACATTGATGGGTCTGTAATATGAGCAGGGCGACAAGCTTCTGCCTTGCAGCAAGGGTGAAATGAGCGATCTGAAGAATGCAAATCCATACAAATCATGTCCAGCAAGGAGAGCAAACAGTCCCGTAAATCACGCTGACTGGAGTGTATGAAATTCCATGGGATTAGATGACATCAGTGATGTTTTAGGTCTTTGACAACGACAAACTGTAGCCCAATCACTTGATGAGGTTTGGGATTGCAAGAGTGACTGAGTGCTCTCAACTCAAAAGGATCAGATAAGGGAGTTTGGGATGTCTGTGTGATACATGTGTGGGTCCTTGGGGTTTGAAAGGGTCAGTCTCTGGTAACCCACACTTGACATGGGATCAGTGTGGATAGAACATTCCGGGGAATGTTGGTGTTGGATGACAGGCACTGATGAAATGACAGGAGTCCTGCTCCTCATCTTACTACACTTTTGGTAAGAAATCAGCTCTACGGTGTCCAACAGCCAAGTTTTTGCTTTACATTGAGGTCCTTCCACACCAAAGTCAGGTCTGAGGCGGGAACAGACCCATAAGACTGGCCTCCTCTGAGCTGTTAACATGCATTGAGCCATGGCGAGGTAAGACAGTATTTGAGCATTACACTGGACATCATTCATGTTGCCAGAATGTAAGAGATCCCAGCTGTTTATTGGACACCTCTCATCTGGGAAAACCATTGCAGATTTGCCCCCTCTGCAGCTGCTCCTCACCTCCATTGGAAGCTATTTTGGATGACTGAGCAAGCAGAACACCAGGCCTGTGTCAGCGAAACCTGGGCAGAGTTGGAGCCACACTGGGGATGGGTTGAGGTATTCAAGCATGAACTGGTCAGGCTCTGGGTAAATGAGTGCCATCCCTATTCCCTTCCTCCAAATGAGTTCACTTGCGAGTGACAAGTGAGCTGTGGAGTTTGGTTTCATCAGCGCTGACGTTTAGGTTTGTACTGATGTCAGGTAACTCCCGGTAACAGGATTCCCAAACCTGTTTAGCACATCATCCCAGGGCGATAATTTTACTGGACCACGTGCCTATTTAAAGAGTTAGCATTCCATGCTAATAAACAAGCATAATGATATAAAAAGACACGCTGAAGGACAGCCATTTCACTATGAGTGTTTACTTGTCACATGATCAGTGGTTAAGTCTATCGAAGCTGGTTGAAATACAGTATTAAGGAAACCTGTGAACTGGCACTTAGCAACAGCCTCGCTTTCATACCCGTCATGGCACTTGTTCAGCGCTCTGAATAAGGTCTATAGAGCAGATTTGGAATGGAAACCGTGCGGGAAGTCAAGTAGCATGTGTTCATAAATATTCATTGATCACCGGTGCCGCCACAATAGCAGGATTTCTCGATTCAGGAGCATCTTAACACACATTTTATAGGGTAACAATGGGAAAAATGCCCCCGTCAAGAACAATGTGAATTTCCTTTTAAACTAACACCTTCAGATATGTTTAGCATGTGCAGGACGATGATGCATTAGACAATGTTATAGGAAATAAATAGAATGCTTAACATATTGTACTTTAAGCATTAAGTGTATTGTATTAAAGTACATTCAAATATGTATAAATGTTGTGTGATTCAGATAATTCTATATAGGGATGTATGACATTTATATTGATTTAAATACACAAATCATGAATTGTCCCCATTTTTGTACGGTTTTCATTTCAGAAATCTAGAAATTTGATGACATCATACTTGAGTAAATATGTTATGAATTGAATTATTTATATGAATTGTATAATTTGTCATCCCCTTTTTACTGATGTGGCAATGTTTAAATATGGAAATAAATGATAATTAAGTAAATTTAACTAGTTGCATATATCTGGTGGCTTTATACTCTCACAAACTTATGTTAGCCTGGGTAATATTGTTTTGTAACCTAAGGTAAAAGATACCGTCCTCTTCTCGTGTTTAGGGATTGTAAGAATTAAAATGTATTCTTACTAAATGACTGATTCTGGTGTCTGATAACAGTATGTCCTGTTGTAATTGATCAGGTATGTTGGAGTTAGTGCTGATTACACTGCCTGTAAATATTCATGTATGTTAGTTTCCAGGTCAGTTGATGAAACAGCTGTAAATTATTGATGAGGACATTTTTGTAATGAGAGAGACATTTTTATCACATTTAAAAAATAAAACAAAGTCATGCATGTTGACATAAGCTGATTTTTGTTTTCTTTTTCTTCAATTGTTATAACTGTGTTAATGTTTTGAAAATATTCCATACTCATGTCTTAAATGAGTCCAGGAAACAATTAGCAATGCCAAAAATGTAACTTAATGACTTATTTTTCCAAACCTTTGTGAAGGAGAGTCTCATACATGAAGAACAGACACAAGACGGCAGGAGACGTGTTCAGAGGTTTATACTGAAATTCATGGAAGTATACAACGCATCCTACACTATTACCATGTCCACACGCATGTAATGCTGGGTAAAAGGTACATTTGGCATGTAATGATGAGACAGCAGTTTGAAATTTAAGACAAAAGCAAAACATGAGTAATAATCTGTAGCACAGTACAATTAGGCAACATTAGTACAGTTACCAAATAGTTGAAATATAAAAATTAATCCCCCAAAAAAAATCATATGCTTTTTTTATTTACAACCCAGTGCCTTTTAGAACGGCCTATTTGTCTTAAGAGGCCTCAAGGACCTTCTTTAACAACGACAATAACTCGAGCAAGTTTGATATCAATATAAATATGACTGTAAGGTGCAAAGACCTTCCCCTCAGAGAGTCCATTACACACACACACACACACACAGGTTCCGTTACCTCCAGATGTGCTTTCCGATCAGAGCGTGTGCTCACTGCATAAGTGCTTCCTGTTAGCCATGATCAACAGCGACCTTTAACCTTTCAGATACACAAGCAGCCCTTCATATTCACAATGCCTGTATCCCATCATATACCATTTGCTTCCGCTAATATCAGAAGGGCGCCAGCTAGTGGTTTGAGGAGGAATCTAATTAAACGTTCACTGTACAGTGTGCTACCTGTCTACTTCCTGTTTTTAGTCTTCCTCAGAGAACCCCAATATTGGCCAACACACACACACACACACACCCACGCATACACTGTACAATAAAAGCGGACCTCAGTCGTGCACATGCACACCATTAACACGTCTCCTGTCACAATAACGGATAACGTACCTTGTGTTGACTCGGACTGTGTTTGTGCAAGTAGTCTTGAGTAGGTCAGTAGATAGAAATGTTAATATCCCCCAGAAGACAGTTCAGTCAGCTATACGCCCCAGTCCTGTGTTTAACATCAGTAGTAGAAACACTAGCGTTAAAGTCTTGTAACTCAGTAAGTACGTACTTGTGTTTCAAATGGGGTCGCTGGTACCCTAGAAGTAAAGTTTTTACAAAAAAAAAAAAAAAAAAAAAAGGAGAGAGAGAAGTCATGTTGTTCGCACTGTTCCGGCTGCGGGGGAGATGATGATGTGGGCTGGGGACGTCTGGTCCTGTTAGACGCTCTCTTTGCCCTGAGCTCCTGTCACAGTCTTGATGGAGGTTAACGTCCTGTTGAACCACGTCTTTTTGGCTGCTTGGACCTCGTTTAGAGCCAGACCCAGATGATGCTCCAGATCCTAAAGAAGACATTAAGCTCACGCTTTATTCAAAATGACTTCAGCTGAACTTGTAAACTTATAGGGACAGTAACAACAATCTCAAACAATGTGTGTGTGTGTATAAACTGCACTGAATATCAATATTTATAAGCCTAAATTCAATCTGTTTATTTAAAGTAATTATGTCTCTTCCGAAGACTTGGATTAAACCAGACCGTTCATATGGACTACTTTTACAATGAACTTCTTTTACTTTATGACCTTCAATGTTGAAGCATCAATGTTTCGGTGGAATGGACTTTTAGTGGAAGTAGAGAAATCTCTCAGCTTTCATAAAAAAACACAAAAATCTTAATTTGTGTCCAAGATGAACGAAAGTCTTGTAGGTTTGGAACAACAAGAGTTTTATTGATAATTTGTTAAACTTTCAAGCCTTATTTTGCACACTTTAACGCAAAGAGTCTGATCTTGATCTGCAAATAATGCCAATAACTAATAACTAATTATTACTAATAGAAGAAACTAATTTAACAGGGTTAAAACATTTGTATTATTATTGTATCTGTCTTTAAGGGCGTTTTCACACCTGAAAGTCGGCACCAAGGTCCAAACCAAAGTTCACGTTTTGATACATTTGATACTTTCAGAAAGTTTTGGTTTGGTTTCACACTGCAATTATGCGAGCGCACTAAAGAACTTTACGTGACATACTTGCATCCTGTCGCCATCATCTATGTGGGCTGCATCCTGACATTGATTGGTTTTGTAAATGGACGTGCGTCTGACGTCAGCGTGTTGTCAATTCGGCGGGTAACTTTGACAACATGAATGAACAGACGCATATCGTTGCAACTATATTGTTATTTTTATGGCATAATTACCTGCAGCACCAACTATACACAAGGCTAGCGCCTAATGAACGTCCTCGTCGTGCGAACATTTTATCGTCGCCGGCAGGAAAGGAGGAGAAGACTGCAAGTTGACTTTTTATTATGTCATCAGACCATACTTCAATAAAAAACCTTGTCTCCTCCTCTCCCCATGTGCTAGCCTACCACGGCTCATTTTTCCTGCCACCTTCTGTTTTTTCGGCTATGCGGGAACCACCGGAACTTCCTGTAAAAGGTCCGAAAGTCCGAACCATGCAGAAATGCTCTCACACTGGAAACGAACCAAACTTTCGTTCAGTTTGATCCGGACCGAGACTACCTCTTTTCGTCGGACCAAATTTCATCTGTTTGGTCCGGACCGTGATCCGGGGGAGGTCTCACACCTGTAATTTTGATTCGGACCAAACAAGGTAGGTGTGAAAGGGCCCTAAATCATAAGCATTAATTGAACAGAAGTGTCATTTAAAGGACACCTCGCTGATGGATGTGTACATGTGTCCAATCATAGGACAGTCTAAAAGTTCCCCTATGTCCTAAAGGCAGTCTGCAGTGTGTGTGAGTGTGTAGGACGTGTCTGTGTACCTGTATCTTGCACTCGGCCTCCACCAGCTGTAGTTTGGTCTGTGCGAGCTCCAGCTCCATCTCTCTCAGCTGGTTCTTCAGCGCCTCCTTCTCCTCGTCCATGTCCTCCTCACTGCCTTCCTTAGGAGCGCTGAGAGCCTTCAGACGACCCTCCTTACTGAAGAGACTACTGCACTTCTCACAGCCCTCCACCTTCATCTGCACACACACACACACACACACGTCAAACCTCACAAGCCTGGCGATGGCCAAACCACAGGCATAACTCGGCTGGTTATTACACTAAATAAAGCACAGCCGGAGATCAGGACAGTCAGCCAAGCAATAATGAGGCGCAGGTCGTACATCATCCTGCTTATTAGACGGCTATTACCAAATCATTTACATATCGAAATGAGTTACAGGAAGAGAGTGTATTACACTTGTTTTAATTGTCGTTAGTGTCTGATTAGGGGGATATTATTGATATATTGTTACTCATTGATCTGGAACACTAAATTCTTCTGACTGGTCGATCACAGTATTCTGTGGTCAAATAGTGTTGTATAATCATGATAAACTGTGTGTATTATTGTCTTCGACTTGCAATTATGTTGTAAATCAGTTGTCTCTCACATAATTGCGCAATCAATATTACCTAAATAATAATTAATGTATATGTTTATATAGCTATGAAACATGGTAAAGTACAATCAATAATTTCTATATACTTTTTTTTAAGGCGAGATACGCCAGGTGAATAGGGGAAAGTGGATTCATTCTATTAAGAATCACAAACATTGTTTTTTTATTACAATTTTTCTGAAATGTTGTGTTTAAATATGCAAATGAGGCATTATGTAATTAAATATGCACAAACTTGCATAGATTTTAAGAACTGAAACCTGAACACTGGATAAAGCCAGATTCAAAATTCTTGTTTTTACGGAGAGGATTTTGAATTATCCTTTTTATCATTCCAGAAAGAAAAAAAAATCCCCATGTTTTTAAGGGATAAAATGTCATCTCAAATCCAGCGAATGACATGAACAAACCCCTTCAGAATACAGATAGGAGTAAAAGAATAAACTACATTTTTGTGTACATAAATTCTACTGAAGTGGAGGTTTGGAGATTTCTGGCTCAGTCTCTGCATTAGAAAATAAAACTCATTTTGTGCAAATAGCTTTTAAAGATGTGTCTTGTAAATGAAATCTACAGACGCAAATACATAAAGTGCAATGAAAGTGTATTGTGAATGTTTTCTTTCACTAGTCTAAAACAACATGGAAGGCCAAATATCTTTAATCAACACACTCCTGCATCAAGCTATGGACTTCTGTGTGTGTGTGTGTGTCATCACCCACCCGGATCTTCTCTATCTCTCCTCTGTTGGCCGTCTGCTGTTTCTCCAGTCGCTCGCTGAGCTGAGAGCAGATCTGAGACACAAACACACAGAGGTCAAGGGTCAGTAACGCTCTGGCTCACACACATGCTTTCCGCTCAAGAAGAAGAGGGAGAACGAGGCTTACGGTAAAAGGTCAATCATCATGACTGGAACATACAATCTTTCCATCTATCTCTCCTCTTACAGGATATCACATCCGCCCCCCCTGTCTGTGTGAACTCCCAGCATGCTCTTACAGGAAGTGCACTAACTGGCCCACACAGCTCAGGTGAGGAGGACGCGCTGTTTTTCACCTGCAGTAAATCCAGTGGGGTTCAAGCATTCTTTCCCAACAGCGCATCACTCCTTTGCACGTGTCGTTGGATCAACTCAGCATGAGTTAATTTGATGAAGACCCTCATTAAACATGCATTCATCATCAGGGTGAATGTAGCTTCAAATGAATAATGAATGAATGATCAGGGATGACGCAGCCCCAGAATATTACTGTCGAGGAATTCTGTTTCACATCTGAGCCATGACACAGTGGTTAAAGCCTCAAGTATAATTTTGACACCAAAACTTACTGTATCTGTACGCCAAATATGTAGCCTTTCAAAGTGTACTCCATTTAATATCATGAACGAGCACAGGAACACAGCGAGTTTTATTCTGAACCAGTGTCTGAGCTATTTCTCTCCAGAAGTGACAAAAAATGCACTTGTTTAAACTAGAGTTAGATGCATCTCACACAAGCAATCGTCAGTTTGTTGTTGTTGTTGATGTTCGGTTTCTTTTTTAGACAGTGAAGCAACAGCCTGGGTCAGTGTTGCCACCTTGTGGACAAACTAATTTGTGCTAGAAAATTAAAGGCGCATGTGCTGTGCGAGTGTAAAGAGAGCTAGAGAAATCTGCAGAAGTACTACGCTAAGCTAGCCTGGTTTAAACCAGACCATTCTCAGTTGTAACTGAGTTATGGTCTGGCAAAGCGTCATAGACAAATCATTTCCAGACGGGCGTCACCAACGGACGTCGCGGATAGACCTAAACCCAATCAGAGCGATGAAGGAGATGACGTATGCAGAGCGGCGGAGAAACATCTCCGAGTGTTGTTCTTTGCTCGGTTTTTAACTAAAAGGAAACGTTCAAGTCGCTTAAAACAGACGCGACAGCTGATTCGAACGAGTGATGTTCGACGGCGGCATCCATCTCTGTAATGTAGGCTACAAAATCTGCTTCAAAATCCCAGCGCTGTCGTCATCGTGTAAAGCCCGCCCCAACGTTTCTGATTGGTGCCGCGATTTCGGCGGATTGGAAATGAGCTTGAATGAGCTCTTTGCCAGACTAACTTTCAGAGCAAATCTAAATTTGCCGGAAGCTGTCTGGGTTTTCCCAGGCTAACGCTAAGCCACAGTGAAGCTAGATTGAGGATAGGTGCTTCTCAAAAGGAAGCCTGTATCCTAGTGAGGCTGTGTCTTTCCTAGTCCAGTCCTGTGGAGGCTAGTTTATTTTGAATTTTTTTTACAGTCTATGGAAAATACTATTACACTGATTAATTTACAGCAAAACATAATCCCTTCATCTCCAAAAATATTTTTTTTGTCTTGCATTACGTAGTGAAATGGGACAAGCTCAGGGCAGAATCATTTTCCAATCATTCTTTTTTGTGTGTGAATTGGAATGTGTGCTAAGGATTGTGGGTGATTGCGAAGGACACACTTGATGCATCCTTAAAAATAAGCCAAATGAAGGAAGCCATATGCCTTCAAAGGATTCTTTGGACGGGGCTTGATGATGTGGCAGTCGAGGTGCGCAGTCTTACTAGGATGCAGCGCTCCGATTGAGAAGCACAACATGTGTAAATGTCATTTCAATGGACACTGCAATGTCCATAATATGACGTCACACTCAGTGGCGCCTTTTCAAAAAACACAACTCAAAATATGCAATCTACTCCACTTTCCAGCAATGCTGCAATACTGCGATTTAAAGATTGCGTTATTTTAATCCAGCTGAAAGGTCACAACATTTCGCAAGAGCGCACCTTAAGGAGGAAATGTCCTGTACGCACAGCCTAGCGTACGTGTAAAACCAAGGCTTAGGTTTGATGCTGGTTGATAGTTTTGGTTACACTTTATTTTAAGGTGTCATTGTTAGTGTAAATATATATTTAAGTACTGAGTAATATTACTACATGTACGTTTTTGAATTTTAATTTTGTTCTAGCTTTGTTTGTTTTTCTCACGGCAGATGTGTTAAACCTGTCCTCCTCACACTAATGAGTGAATGTGTGTTCATTTCACACCAGGAAGCTGTCCAGCATGATACCTGCAGGCCTTTGACGCTCATTGTGTGTTGTCTGCCTCATACAAGCAATAAGAGCGTGAGTGTGAGTGTGTGTGTGTGAGAGAGAGAGCTGGTTCAGCTCAGAGGACACCATTATCATGCTCCACCATGAATCATGCTGTCAGCGGCCCCATTAAAATGAGTTCTGCAGGGACAGCAGCTCAACTATTTTTACAGAGATGCTCTCATACAGCACTTTCAGGCCAGCCTCTCCTCTACACTCACACATCAGACCAGCTCTTATCCATACACAAGCATGTTCAACTGCTCCAGTTTGGACTTGTATGTTTACAGGAGCATATTGAGCCCTTTGGTCTATTGAATGTGCTCTATTAACAGCTATTTTGGTTTATTTCTGGTGGGAAATGGAAATGTAAGACTTGGAAATGGTTGGAGCCATGGCTTAGTGCTTGGTACACGTGCACAGACTCACAAAACTTGTTCTGCACTTTCCTCTTTGTCCTTTCCTGCCTTCTTTCTACTCGCTTGTCAATAAATGTGTCAAAAAAGGCCCAAACTACAATAAAACGCAGCTGAGGCCAAGCACAACATTTGGACATTGTAAGGACACCATTTTAAGTTAGTTACCATTATTTACAGCTCAATATCTTTTGTCCATTAGGGAACATTGCAATCAATGTAACATGGTATTCTCATGTTAATTGTAACAACAAAACATCTAATGTTTTATGTTTTCACAGTTGTTGTGATGGAACAGGTCTCACTTCCTCTTTAGTGTCTTTGCCAGCTAGGTTTTTATGTAGAAAATTAAAAATTTAAAAGTTTGGTCTGAGCCCGTTTTGGTAAAGATAAAAAAAAAAACAATTGAAGGAGAAGTAGCAACACAAATTTTAAAATTGAATCAGTTTAAAATTGTGAAAAAATTGCAGTTTCTATGTTGCATGCGGTGTAGATGCATGACTAGATATTACAAACTTGTTTCTAGGCCATTTAAAAGCTCAGTTTAACTTAAGTAGCAAAAGATATGATCTTCTGTATTGTGAAGTAGATGTGAAATGGATTATCAAAAATAAAAAAAATGTAGGGTGGGACTTGGTTTATCCATCGACTAATGCATCCGCATACATGTCATAAATTACATGCACTCCGGTAAACCTATAACTCGTGAGCTCCCTCTATTGCTCTGGCTGAAAGTAAAGTGAGATGGGAGAAATCGCTTCAACCCCCCTTCAGATCGCATTCATTTGTGGAAAATGATGTGCAAGTGGTGTGATGTACACATTTTATCAATATTTTTCTAAATGTGTATTGCTGTGCATTGCTGCGATCATAAATAAATGAAAGCAGGCACGACTGAATAAGTGTGTGTTCTCTTTTTATGTAAGATAATGATTAATAACAGTTTTATTCAGAATGATTGATGTGCACTCCTGACACACATAAAAAATGACTGCAACTGTAACATAAATCATTGGTCAAACATGCTGGAGTGTAACATCCAAAAGTTTGCTTGTCATGTTCAGTTTGCGATCTAGCTAGTTTTCACTCCGCTGGTGGAACGGTGTGGTTGTGTGACGTTGTTCTAGGGAGGCGTGTTAAGGGCGGGTTTTAACTTAAGTGGGCGAAAGGCAGCTTGATTTCAGCTCGAGATCCAAGGCTTTTGGTCCCGCCCGGCACATTGTTAGCCCTCACACTGGCCCGACAGTGGAAAAGCAGCTATTGATACCATACTTGCCAGCTGGGATACTGAAACCCACCCTAATCAGTGTGCCAAACCTTTATCTACCCGGTTCAAAGCATTGCCAGAGACTCCCAGCCAGGAGCAGCAGCAGAAGAAAATGATCAAATGTGTGCCTGATCCCTTAAAAACAACAGATGAATTGTAGTGAGTCTGCTACAGACTAATGGGCTCTTTTCCTTGAGGATGAGTTAAGTTATGATGCATGAAGCAAAAGTAAAAGGTAAAGAGCCCATTAATAACGGTATAGGGATAACAAGGACATAGTGACATGCACAAGAATAAATAAAGGAATGAAAGTCTTGGTTTTGATTTCCAGGGAAGGCATGAACTGATTAAATGTATACCTTGAAATAAGTCAGTCACACACATAAAACTAAAGTAAAAAATAAATTAGGCAAACATTTGGCGGGGCGAGTAAAAATGATGTAGTGTAAAATGTAAAAATGATGCGCATTTATAGAGAGTCTCAGTTAAGTGTATTGTGAAGGTAATTTAACAGGGCGATGGGGTGTTTTAAGATGAGATATGACAGAGGCTGGGACATTTAAACTGATTTAGGATTTAATGCAGCAAATGCAGGGATAGTGGACTTCATTATAGTGATAGAAGGCCATTAAATCAGAGCAATCTTAAATAGAAACTGCAGACCATGCTCACTGGAGACACAGTGTGTGTGTGTGTGTGTGTGTGTGTGTGTGTGTGTGTGTGTGTGTGTGTGTGTGTGTGTGTGTGTGTGTGTGTGTGTGTGTGTGTGTGTGTGTGTGTGTGTGTGTGTGTGTGTGTGTGTGTGTGTTCACCTGTTTGTATTCTCCAATGATGGAGCCATTCTTCTTGATCTCAGACTCAGATTTATCCAGTTCTCTCCGACACATCTCCTTCAGCTGAAAACACAGATGAAAGTTAAACACTCTTTTTCGCTTAAAAAGTAATCCGTCATTGCACAACAATACTATATTTGACCCAAGTGTCCCCTCTGGGAGACATATCTCCTGTCTGTGTAAGGACAACTGTGTCCACAGGCTGTACTAACGTAAGACTCGTCTCAGAGGCACCAGAGCAATCTACTCAAGCACAAATCCAGCATGCCGTGAGTCTGCCCTCTCCAGGGATCATTCACTGAGAACACTCCATCCAAAATATAGACATAAAGAAAATATATGTATGTAATCACATTATGGGGTTATTGGGAAATACACTACCAAACAAAAGACATGCGTAATTTATGTTTCTTGTGCCAATGTAAGAATATATATATATATATATATATATATATATATATATATAGCTATATAACTGTATTGGATTATTTAAAAAAATAATAATAATATTAACATATACATATTTAAATTATTATTAAATTAAATTAAATTAAATATCCAATACAGCTTAATCAGGGATTATAAGTCTTTTTAAATGTAACTTTCATTGAGAAAGCACCACACAAACGTTTCATGGTAAAAGTGACTTCTCTGATTGGTGGAAATCACTTAAGGATTATGGGTAGTGTAGTAATGCACTGGGAATTTGGCAATTCAACTTTTTTTAAACCTAGCTGAAATCATTGACATTAGCTATTTCTGAAGCATATGGGTAATTTAACTTCTTACAAAAAATAAGAAGTGTGAGAAAATATATTTTATTTATTATATTTATTTTTATTATAATTAATATGTATTATTTTAGATTTTTAAAAAGGGTGAATTGGAGTGTATAGTGAAGAAAAAGAAACCAAGAATAGTTCAACACTTCTGAACACCTTCAATATGCAGAACCTGACAAATTTCCAGGCAGGAATTATGTTCCAGGATCAACAAAACATGTTGACCCAGGAACACATCTAACTTGGCAAAATCAGGACGTGCGCTTTAATACTGTTTTTTTTTTTTTTTTTTGACCAGTTGTACAGAAAGGTTTTGGATGGTAGTGGAGGTGTCCGACCTGTGCAGACTCTTCCTCCAATCGCCTCTTCTCATCTTCAGAGTCCACCAGTTTCTGCTTAGTGATGAGAAGCTCTTTGTTGAGCGCGTCAGCTTTCTCCTCAGCCTAAAGGAAAAAGGGCAGAGTGTGTTAACATGCGCCAGAGGCCACAGGCATGTGAATGTCACCAACCGCTAAAGCTAGACCTGCAATGAGAACAAACTTTTAAAATGCCCTCAAAAGTGGCAAACTGCCTGAAAGACTTACGTTGTCCAGGTCTTTCCTCAGGGCGATCTTACTGCTGACCAGCTCGTGAGCCAAATCGTCATTTTCCTGTTCCAAGCGCATGTTAGCGTCCTGTAGCCGCCGGTTTTCTCTCTACAGAGCAGACACAGAGCGTGAGCGGGTGTGTGACTCAGTCACTGTCTTGTGACAGTCACTATAATGGTTAACTGTGCTGGGAATACGAGGAACCTTGGAGAAGAAACCTGATTAAAAATTGACCAGTTAGAGGGAAATATGTCAGAAAGCAATTAACACACTGACTGGACTTTCAGTCCTCCGGCTATTGTACTAAGAGCCTGTTAAATAGCGAGTGTGTGTTTGTATTGTGCATGTGTATGTGTGTTAATGCCATACTGTAACAGTCCCAAACCTGTTAACATTATAGAACCGTTTCCTTGATCTCACAAAAGCGCTGGTTATAATACATACACAGAAATATTTACAAGCTTATGTATTTAAGTGCGTTTAATATGACTGAATTTAGGTAATACAACATGTAGTGTGCCTTTTCAGTGCAAGAGTGGATTGACATGTAAATTAGTTAACTTGATATTATTAATACAAGAGGAATACATTTATAAATAAGTTTGTAAATAACTTTTATAAATAACTTTAACTTTTATGAATACATTTATAAATAACTTTTCGACATTCATATTGTAGGCATTCATATTGTAATTACTATACTTGTTTATTTTTATTAACTAATTTTAAAGACAAGTACATAGTAATACAATTAGAACAAAATGTCCATATACAAATAGCTCAAATAAAAGCAATAATCAGTGCTTTTCAGGTTGTTCTAACAGTAGTTTTCAGGTATAGAGTTTGAAGAAAGTAATCAAATGTAAAATATTTGTCCTTTGTTGTTTGATTTACATTAAAATCACAGCAGCAGATTTATTAAGCTGCTGTCCCTCTAAAGGGGTCCTACAGTATTAGGCTTTTCCACTTTTTAAACTTTAGTTTGTGTGTAATGTTGCTGTTTGAGCATAACAAAGATCTGCAAGGTTGAAAAGCTCAAAGCCCACTCCAAAGGGAGATATTTTATTTCACAGAATCCACTTTCCAAGATACAACGAACGGCTCGTTTGGACTGCAACACGATTAACAGGGAATACGGAAACCGAGGCCTGGATGAGCTGCTGCTATGTCGAAGAGACGCTGTTCAGTTCCCACAACTCGTTTCTTTGACCTCCCTAAAGCTGACGAACTCAGAATGGGTCAAATGTATTTCACATTATAATCCCAATGTTTATCTGTGCGCTGCACGTTTTACGAAGGACGTCTTCCGGAAATGGAGCAGTTTCCACTTTGTCGGGACAATCTGTGCTTGGATCACAACTTGTAAGTATGTCTTATTATTTGTAGTTGCATTTTCTATTAACAGAACTAATTAGAAGTTTAATGTTGTTGAACGAGCGCATGATCTGGGCAACTCTAGCAAACTAGAATGATGCTCTAATTGTGATATTTAGGAGCCAAAGTTTTGTTGTAGAGAATTCAAACTGAATTTTTACTCTGTGTGTGTGTGTGTGCACGACTGACAGTTCCTAAATGATCAGAGTAATTCCTCGTGAGCTGGGCTAAGGCTAACAGTTGACTGGCAGGCCGCCGTTATCCGGAATCCATCTGGCCATTTTTTCCTCATCTCGGAGCCCAGCGGTAACCTCGTCTCACATCGCTGCTCATTATAAGCATAAAGCACATATGCTAATGGCACAAGATACAGGATGGAAATGAAGGAAAATGAGTTTGAGCTCAGCGCTGAAGAGAAACCTAGTTCTGATTGTGGGGTAAAACGAAATCTAACGGCTAGATTAACGCATATGGGCAAACGCACGCGCAACCTAAAGAGCCATGTAAATATTCATGTGCACAGAGTCATGAATGCAGATGTGTAAATCCGACAGAGACGCATCATGCGGTCCGACAATCAAGCAGACCCAGAATAAATCTACCTCATATCTATCGATGGGCGCCTCCTGCTGCTCCTGTTGCTCTCGAATGGTGTGGTATTCTTTCTCATACTTCTTCAGCTTCTTCTGACTGATCTGTGACATACAAAAACAAAGACACAGAAGAGAGTATTGGCATGATAAAGTGTAACTTTGACACAGGGCATAGCTTAACAAGTCCACAAAGACCAGATGGCGATAAGCCAAAACACGATAAGAGCTAGGGGTCGATGATATGACCAAAACCGTTATAGCAATTTTATTTCACGACTAATATAGTTCATGATATAGCCATTTTTGTTGCAAACAAGGTTACGATGCATACTTTTTATATTACATTGAAATTTCACAATTCTTAATCATTTTTATACCAAAGCAAAAACTAACACTAGTTAATTAAATCTGTTCACAATATAAAGCAATGTCTCTTCAGAAGACTTGGATTACATTGCATGATTTATTACTTTTGTTTTTATGAATGGTTTTGATGTGTGAAAGTTTTTGTTGAGTAGACTTTCAATAGATGGTCAATATATTACAAATAAAAATAAAATAAATATGGATAACATATTATAAATATCTTCATTTCTGCTCAAATACGACAAGAGCTAGGGGTCAGCGATATGACCAACATCCTGATACAAGCAATTTTATTTCATGAAAACATTTCTCAATATAGTTTTTTTTTTTTTTTTGCTGGAAATAAGGATTTTTGTTATGCCATAATTGTAGAGGAAATTTAAATCTCGCAATTCTCAATGCCACAAACTGATAGTCCAATTAATATAAATACAAACGTCTCAAACTTATTGAAGACAGTACACAGTCAGTAATAAATTAAGAACAATGTAACTAATTATAAATAAAATGACAAAAAATTATTTTGGTTTTACAATAATTCAATTTATCACAGAAGTAATGGGATAAAAGTTTGTAGTTCGCATATAAACACTGATGTATATGGTAGCAATCAAAATAAAGTGAATCACCTTTGAAAATAACTTGACGCTTCAAATAAAGATTCTATCAATTTCATCATTGCGCCAGAAGTTGGTGACAAGTGACTGTTATATTGTCATTGTTCATTCAAGAGATTCATTAAAAAACACTGATTTATCCAGTAATGTAGCAAGTGAGTCATTGAATCATTCATTCAAACTGTTTTCTTAAGAAAAAATCAAATAATGTTTTTAAATAGAGTGCAGCAGTAAATTACTGCTGTAATTTAGTTATGTATTCAGAATCGTGGGAGAATTAAGATCGCTATTTTGAACAAAAAAAAAAAATCTTCTCAATTTATCCAGAATCGTGCAGCTCTACTACAGAAACTGGATAATGTATGAGTCTGTATGAAGTATATATACAATGATTTTTATTAAAACATAAAATTTTTCACCAACTATTACATTCATTTAGGACAACCAACTGCGTTTACGTGAATACTGGCAAAGACAGACATTTCGAATTAAGTTCTCTTTCACTTCTTATTGCACTTAAAAAGTTTAAAATCAATTGAAAGTTTAAATTGGAAAGGTTTAAAGATTAATTCAACGGATAAACGTTTGCCAAAATGCAGCACTGCATTGTTACATGAGCGCAACCGTGATCGAGACAATAATCCAAAATCTCAACCGGTTAACAAATTTGTACCAGTTTATCAAGTCTACTAGTATATCGCCCAGCCCTAACAAGATCTTAACAAACTCTTAAAATTTGTTACTCCGTCAAGGAACATTCGTAAAGTACCACATAGGTGTTGGTTACTTCACGTCTTCCTTTCAGTTCTTGGTAATTATCTGCTCCAAAGTGGACCAGACTTGACGTCGATAGTCAAGAATCAACAAGCATGAAGTTTTATGACTTTAAAACTGTGAATGGATCAGACTTGCCGTCAACAAAAATAAAAACTTGCTCTGAACGAGCTAATTTATCCAATTGCAACAAGACTAAACGGACTTCTGTTCATGCACACTGGACACGAACACACACAAGCCGTGCCACATTTATCCACCTGCAGCTCAATACTGCCTCATTTTCATCGAATGACCCCATTTCTGTGAGACTGAGTGTGTTTTGTGTGTACAGCATCAGCCGTTTCTCAGCAGAAGAGCGTGAAGCCGACGTAAGAGCCGCAGGTACGTGCAGGTTTGTAAATGAGCTCTGTTTAGCACTGCGCCACATCTGACTAGCTCCAGGACACAGGACCGGCTCTGTTCCATATTTAATCCGTAATGCTTCCACAGATGAAATGAGATCCATATAAAAGCCCTCAATGTCAAGAGTAGTTCATCAGTCAGCGTGTTTTCAGCGACACCCCAGGGAACAATTAGGGCTGGATGCAGTGAAATGAAGTTCTTTAGCTCGCGACTGGTGTTAAACTGAGGAAGGGGCCGTGGGCTTCTGCTTTTCTAACGCTGGGCCCCTCGTATTCAAAGAGCACACTAACACACCCAAACTCAGCAGTGAAAGTGAGCTTTCAGTGTTGTGGTGGTGGGATGGCGTGACAGAGAAGGAGGAATAAAGGTTAGCTTGTATTTGGAGGAAAAGGAGCAAGACCCAAAAGAAACTCAATCGGTCGTGTTTTGACGGCAATGAGGAACTGATGAAAATAAGGGCTTGTTCACCCACAAATTACACTTTGGTATTCACGTTTAGCTTCTGTTTACAATATTCAATGTGCTCTATATGTATGTCACTGATCAATGTTTATATGTGAATAAAAGGTTAAATCTGTTTATCTAAATCTGTTAAGTGATAGGGTCTCTTCAGAAGACTTGGATTAAACTGCTCCATTCATATGGATTATTTTTATGATGTCTTTATGTGCTTGTGAAAGTTTTGGTTGCGTGGACTTTTAATGGATGGAAAAAAAAGATACAGATATTAAAAATAGGGTTCAGAGGATGAACGGAATTCTTATTGGTTTGGAACAACATGAGGGTGAGTAAATGCAAGTATTGATTTACCTTTCCTTTTTTTATGGTGATAATATGATTTGTTATGAAAAAAATGTATATATATATATACTTTTTTTTTTTTAAATATAGTAGATGTATAAATAACATGTGAGGACAGATGCTATAATACAATAAAAACAAGAACCAAGAACTTTTTTTTTTTATCATGGGTCTCTTTTTTTTTTACCCCTGCAGTGTCCTCCGCTGGTCAATCCAGAGAATGACATCAACACTCTTACTGTTCTATAAAACACAGCACGAAAAAGCTGTGCGGATTGCGTTGAGTGGTCTACACACAGCAAGAACTAAATGAAAAGCACATTTACACTAGTAAAACAGATGGTGAAGCACTCAGTACCTCTGGCACATTCAGGAGTCCTGTCAAATATCATACTATCGTAATCATGATGAAGAGAAAAATGCTCTCTCATTTGTCAATTTTTACACTATATACTTAATAAATACAAATAAAAACAGCATTTTCTTCAAATTCTCTGTAATTAAGTTCCATGATCATCTCATGAAATACTTAGCCAAAGAGCTAAATATAAAGCCTGAACATGGGCAGGTTACCTTCATACCGCACGCTAGCTCCATGAGCTTCTTGGCGTTCTCCTCAGAGCGATAGCGCTTGGGCACTGGCACTCGAAAGAACTTCAGCGCGCCCTCAAAGTCTGCCTGTATCAGGTCATCTTTAGACGTCTGTGGACAGAGAGAGCCTTTCAGGATGTTTCTAGAGTCAGACAGTAAAGCTCATGTGAATGTTGCTCATTTTCTGCTGTTGAGGTGTGATGGTGGTCACTGGTAGGTTGTCTCTCTTTCTATAGGGTTGGATCACAGCACTATGAAACATGTGATCACAGTGTAGTGTAGCTACTAAATATTAGGTGTGCCAAATAACATCTAATATTCTTTTAATAGCTGTGACCATGGTGATGAAGCTTTGCAGTTTAATTTTCGGGAAACAGCACAGGCCGATATGTTCATCGATTCCTTGGTGAAAAAAGATGAGAAAAAAAGATGAAAAGTTGCAACTGATTTCGTAAGCATTTCCTTACCTTCAATAACGCAAGAGCCACATTGAAAATTACACTGATGCCCTGAAAGGAAAAAATACAAGATTAAAAAGAATACAAGATTTCAAAGAAAATCATATTAGTTGAAATTTAAAATAATTTTGTCTTGATTAGATTTAGATCTAGTTGCAGTATTGTCATGTTCTAAGGTGCTGCACCAACTTATCTTCTGATAAACTAGCAATTTATTTTAATATTTCAGGCGTTTCTTCATTTTTCAGGTATTTGTTTTCTTTCTCCAATGGAAATGTTACAAGCTAAACTTGTTGTCTTGTAATTGTTGTTTTATCTGGTAATTATTTATAGGACTATTCTTTTGTCCTCAATATTTACATCACGTTATAATAGTTTTAATGACATTACATGACATTGACGTTCTAAAATTTTTATTGACACCATCCTCCCAGAAGTGACAGTTTTTGGTGAGACAACATCAGCAAAAAAAAAACATGAGTAAGAATTAGCATTGGTTTGATGGATTCTGTGATGTTTTTTTTTTTTGTGATCATCATTTGCTTTTTTCATACTCTAAAACATTGTTAAAATATGTTAATGTTACATAAAATTACAGAAATCAGTATGATAATATCAAAAGATGGTTAAAAACTATCAAAATCAAGTTGAGTTCATAAGATAACAGGAAACACCCTTAACTCCAAATGAACAGGTAACCTGGGTAAAGAGAGCAGGAAAAGTAACAAATGAGGTAAAGCAGGTAAGAATGAAATATCACCTCACAGAGCAGAAGGTCTATGATGTGAAAGACCATGTAAAGAGGGAATTTGGCTGTGAAGAGTGTGAGGAACCACTGGGAGGCATACATGTGTGCTTCCAAACCCAGGTTCAGGAAGTGTGCGTACAGGTCTGGAATGCATTCCTACAACACAGAGAGGCAGAAGTCACTTATAGTACCGGTCGCGGATGCTGATTGGGCAATACAACGTTCCAGTCATTCAATGTATCATGGTTTCCACAAAAAATATTTCTGCTATGACAACTGTCTGAGTGTTTGGAATGGCAATGGAAATGACAATGTTGATATGTTTGGACTTGTCGGAATAGATCTGCTACGCTGCTGCTGCTGATCAAGTACGGCACTTGCTACTGCCAATACACACACAAGTAAGACATGCTGCTGCTGTACAATAGCGTACATGAATTACCAGTAGCAGATCTATACAGGTGGAGCTGGGGATGGTGGAGGGTTTCTGAAAGTGCGCTGAAAACAGTAAATACTGAACAAGTATTTAAAGGTTGAGCAGCTCATTGGCTACCGATACAGCAGGAACCAATCAGCTGTGCCCTAGAGAATGATGTGATTGCAAGCAGATTGAGCCATTTAGAGTTGCATGACAGAATTTGGTATTAATTAGCACAACTGTTTTTAACATTGATAATGATAATAAATGTTTCTTGAGCATCAAATCATCATATTAGAATGATTTCTGAAGGATCATGTGACACTGAAGACTGGAGTAATGATGCTGAAAATTCAGCTTTGCGTCACAGGAATAAATTACAGTTTAAAATATATTCAATTAGAAACCAGTTATTTGAAATTGTAATATTTCAAAATATTCATGTTTTTTTCTGTATTTTTAATAAAATAAATGCAGCCTTGGTGAGCATATGAGTAAGAAATCTTCACAGCTCCAAACTGTTGTATTACAGTACACAGTATATGATGAAATAGACTTCCATTCAAAAAGCATTAATATCTTGTGTAGTTGTACTTCTGAGGAGACTTTATCTTACTTTAAAATATTCTTCTTTTTTATGTACTGTATTAGTCTTAGTGGATACATCAGAGACTATTTCAATAGGAAGAATAGCACATTTGGATATTTAAACCAATGATCTTATTTTGTCCATCCTTTAGCAAATTCTGTCATAATTTGTAACCGAATATATCAACTAATACGCATAGTTTCTAACACTAACCTGCATGAGTCTCTCCAGCTGGAAGAACTTGCAGTGCAGGTCTTCAAAGTTCTGCTTGAAGAGCTCCCTGAGACCGTATTCAAACATGATCTTGACCAGCACGCTGAACGCCTGCTCCTCTGGCATCTGCACAAGAACGAGACCGCAAACTATCAATGATCACAGGGCTCAATATCAAAAACAAATCCCACAACAGGGAATCTCCACTAGATGGCACCACCTCTCATCTCAAAGGATGATGCCACATGCATTAGTTCAAACCAAGGAGTGTACTTGACTAAATCAAATATTTTGCAAGTGCAAATACACAAATATGCCATTATATTAAATGTTATAGATGTCGTAGATGTTTTGATTTAAGAATCTGAGACACTCACATGTAGTAGCAGCACAGCGGCAAGGAAAGACTGCCCTTGGCAGTAACCAATTTCTTCATCATATACAGAGTATGCCTGCAGGATGGAAGATACAGAATGTTACATTGGAATTATGGGTGATAATGCTATAAATTGATTGGTAGCATTTGAGATGAAAATAACTGGTTTTTATAACATGATAAATGATTTAAAAAAAAAATACAGACAATGGCAGAATTACATTTTTGGGTGAACTATCCCTTTAAATCTTGGCCTCCACCACAGCTCTCAAATCTAATTTGAGCTTTCGCGTATTCAAACTTTTTTCACTGACATCACTGACACCAAACCTAGAGCAACACGTCTTCACGTGGCATGTTTGAAAATGCAGAAGTGCAAATGAGATTTGAGAGCTCGACGGAATGATTACAGATTGACCTACATACCTCTGAAAACTGCTAACATGTCAGCTAATATTGTGACAATCATAAACTGCAGTGCTAATAAACTTTGTGAGCACTGAATCAAACTGTGTAGTCAATATGAGAAATCTATGGTGCTCTATGAATGATGCCGGTAACAGTCGGAGAGAGGGCTGGTGAATTATTAAGAGACGCCCAAAGATGGAAACCTAGTAACCATCAATCTCCTCGTTCCCCTCATCATTTGTGGCTTTCATATTAAAACCACTGACCTCATTATTTTAGGGAGAAAATCTGAGCTTTTGTGTTTTGCGTTTGTTAAACAGGTGATTTGGGTTTCTGGACTTCCGCCATCTTTATATGCTTTGAAAAAGGTAATTGATTGTGGATGTTCAAAACATGAATACAGATTGTGATGAATCTATATATACACATATTACTGCTTGCATTCTCGGGCTGTCAATCAATTGAAAAATTTAAGCAACTATTCACACGTTTTTCCTATACCTAATCATGATTAATTACACCTAACACTATTTTTTTAATATATATTTTTATATTGTAATATTTTCAAATTAATGTAGAAACAAAAGATGGATTTTTTTTTTTTTATATTTGTTTAATGGCATGTTTTTACTAAGTGTACTGGGAATGAAAGTCAGTATATCATACCAGTAGTGCTACTGATGCCTCTATTCAAAATATTTTTTACAGTATAATTAAAAGCCACCATTTTAAACATTTAAAAGGCTTAAAACATATTATAACAACTTTTAATTTTAATGAACTGAAAAATAATTTCACATAATCTCATTATAATAAATGTCACATTTAGCTGTGCCCTTCTGTCAGGTCCCCCCCGGACCCCCCAATACAGTAAAACTACACATTTTAGAGTGGCCTTTTATTGTGGCCAGCCTAAGGCACACCTGTGCAATAATCATGCTGTCTAATCAGCATCTTGATATGCCATGGATTATGGATTGAGGTGGATGGATTATCTCGGCAAAGGAGAAGTGCTCACTAACAGATTTAGACAGATTTGTGAACAATATTTGAGAGAAATAGGCCTTTTGTGTACATGGAAAAAGTCTTTGATCTTTAAGCTCAGCTCATGAAAAATGGGGGCAAAAACAAGTGTTGCGTTTATAATTTTGTTCAGTGCATTTATCTATCCATCCAATCATCTATACACCCACCTATCCATATCTATCCATCCATCCATTTTATATCTCCATCCAAACATCTATACATTCATCCATCAATATATCCAGCCATCCTTCTATACCTATTCATTCATCCATGTATTTATATATATCATCCATCCATGCATCCTTCGTTCTACATATCTATCCATCCATCCATCCATCCATCCAACCATTTATATCTCCATCCAAAGATCTATATATTCATCTTTATCCATCCATCCATCTAGATCATCCATCCATCCATCCATCCATCTATAACTCTTGAATTGAAATCTTTATTTCGAACATGGAAGAGAAAGTATATAAAAAAATAAAACAATGTTTAAAAACATAGGAGAAAAAAAAAACAGATGAGCAGCAAACAAAGTACCCTTCTTTCCTGTGTTAACATACTTCTATTACATGTGCGAAAAGGGAGTAGGAAGAAGTATTTATTAATGCATCCTGCTATATACCCATCCATCCAATGTTTTTATACATGTAACATTTCCTATGAGCCTACAACAAGTTATAAAATGAAAGTTTATAAAGAAACTGGAACAAACTGGATGAAAGTGCAAATTTAACTTTTCCTAATGGTAGGAAATTGATTTTGCAGAGCTGGAGATGATAAATGAACAGGAGCAGAACAAAAGTGCAGAATCTGAGCTGAGCAGACGATTTGAAAGCAAATGGCAGACAGGTCCCCTGCTCACCTTACAGATCTTATAGAGAGAGTCCTGCCCGTCACCGCCGGTGTCTTTGAAGTAGTCGTGTGCAGGAAACGTACGGTTAATGTCACGAGTGATGGCACTGTCCTGTGGAGATTCCTAGTAAAGGACAAGCGAGAGAAACAGAGAAATGTCATCGCTAATATCCAATGCGTAACATCCAATATAATACATTTTAAGACAAAGCGTGTGATTTCAGTGCCACTGTCTATCATAACAAAACAGAAGTGTAAAAATAATGACTCCCTCCATCTGTCTTTGTTTGAACGAACAGATCATACCATCCCAAACTCTTGGCAATGGTTGAGCCAGGCTGGTCTCCATTCACTTTTCACTCCTATCCACTAGGGGGCAATGGATAGGGCATGCACAGAACACACATACACTATTTAAAAACAAAAACAATAATTATATTGGAATCGATGGTTCCATGAAGAGCCTTTAACATCCATTGAACCTTTTAATTCAACAAAAGGTTCATTATAGTGGAAAAAACTTCTTTAGATTGTTAAAATGTTTTTCACACTATAAAAAAAAAAAAAAAAAAGTTCGACAGTTCACCAAAAGGTTATTTGGGGAACCCAAAAAAATAGTTATCTGTAGAAATCTATCAATATATCGTTTCCCAAATATTTTTCACCTATATTTAAGCATTTTCCCATTATCTGGTATCGGTTTTGTAATATTGGATTCACCAATAATCCGATATTTTAATCCGCCATCTTGTGGCTGTTTTAAGAATTAATTCCATGTAGAGATTGAACGATATATCGTTTTCCCGATATTTAAGCATTTTCCCATAATGGTCAAGGTCAAGGTTTAATTATTTATAAAGCACATAATCAGGTATCGGTTTTGTAATATCGGATTCACCGATACACGCCACCATGTTGTGGCCGTTTTAAGAATTGTGCACAAGACCGCCATGAAAGCACTGCGTCTGAGGGGAGATGAGTCAACAATGGTGTTCAAAGGTAAAATAACTTTCATCCCTTCATTAATAAACTTTATTTAACATAACAGCTATTAATGCACAAATGAGATATGCACGAATAAGATGTTACATAAAAGCTTGTTATGTAGTTTAAACTTGGCACTAATAAATAGAGACGAACTCACAGTTCATCAAGTCATGTCCCAATAAAGACATAACTTTAAATGATTTAAATAAATAAACAATTCCTCTCTGTTGTCCGTCCTCACCATTAGTCTAGTAAAATGGCGTTCGTAGTGCGGTTCACTCTGAGTTGATGCTCAGGAAATGCTCCATCATGGCCACCGTACAGTATGCAGCTTTTAACATGATCCACTTGTTTAAAACGTCTACTATATTACATTTATTTAGCTAATAAACATCGAAATAATTACAGCTCTATAAAAAAAAAAAATTATTATCTTCGCGAGAGACATTCTGTGTAAACGCATAGATAAAAGCAGCACTCTGTCAGCAGGTGTATCATAATCTAGAGACCGACAAAAACATAAATAATTCTGATAACATGCCAAATGAGATGGACTCGGTAATTGCGATGATGTATTTGCTGTTTTGTTTATGTTTCTGATGATATACCATCGAATATTCCAGCGTCGCACATAAATCTTATAAAACTAGTTTAAAACGAATGCTTTTATATATATATATATATATATATATATATACACACAAATTTTTGAGACTTTTTTTCAGACTATTTATTGATGTAGAAGTGTGTTTTGTATGTAAGGAGGGAGTGGAATTACAAAAAATACAGTATTTAAAAAGTGTTTAAATAAAACAGTTTGTTAAAGCAGCACTAAGTAGGAATTCCGTTTTTGTCAAACAGCGACCCCTAGAGTCGCTGTGGAGTACTTGTACTGTCGTGAATAGCACTCACGCAGAGATGGCTCGCACTCACGGCCGGATCCCCTCCCCCTGTACACCGGTACCTGTTCAGTAGGATGGACGCTGTAACGAGTGGAAATAAGGTATGGCCCCTTTAAGAGCTGCGCGCGCCCTGTTTAACTGTCGGCAGTCTGTATTGTATGTGCGCCTCGAACACCACATGTATACGGCGCCGGGTTATTTCTGTTTGATGCTCATTTTATCAGAATTGTATCAGATCTGTTTTTTGCCGTAAAGCAATTCGTTACCTCGCGAGACCTGATATCACACGATACTTCCTAACACTGAGGCCGGCGGCCCGCCTGCCCAAAGTTGCAAGGGTGGTTTTGCGGCTCACAGGCACCAGGGGGGTGCGAGACGACCACCATTCAACACGAAATCAGTAATATAAACATTACAATGACTCCAACGCTGTTCGGTTAAGGAAAAAAGGTTACTTAGTTCACCTTTAAGTTCATTGCCGTTTTTATAATAGTCAAAAACAGCATTTAAGCAATAAATAAATATTGGTTCTATACATCGGTTATCGGGTACATAAACGCATCGGTAAAAAAAAAACCTAAAAAAACAATATCGGTCGATCTCTAGTTCTACGGCATCACTGCAAAACCCCCCTTTTGAAACCTCAGTTTTTAAGAACGTAGTGCCTCAAGACCTGTCGACTGGAACAGGGTGTTCTTATTCCCAAAGAGCAATGTGGACAAATTGAGGTGGAAATTTATGTGTGTGCGCTCAAGAGCGTGTCCTTCAGCATCACAGACACAGAGTATGTGGAATATCCCAGAAGCTCAGCCTATGTGTATGTTCGAGTGTCAGAGGTTGTAAGATATGAAATATGGTCGCATGTATGTTAGCCAAACACTGGAGGCCAATCTAGCAAAGACCAAAGATCCTAGAGATTTCTCAGTTTGCAAGATCCCCAATGCACAACTCAGATGTCTTCAGTCAAAGTACAGCTCTCAGCAGTTCAACTATTACATTATTCTCCCTAAAAAAAGCATGTGACTGTACAATTTCCAGCTAAATCATATTGCTGCGCTGCTCTATCTAAATATAGGCTTCTTTGAGCCTCAGAGATACTGATCACAGTTCTTAATAACTGAAGAGACCACAATGGAAACTCAGGGCTGGTTAAAGACAGATTGGTTGCTGGTCTATTTAGTGTACCAGCATAACTTTACAGGGGAAGACATTTCTGCATCTCTCATACTTCCACATATTCAAAGCAAGACTTGACACATTTGAGATCGAGGATGTGAGAGGCGTCTGTGCGCACGTTTCGGCTCTGTCAGTCAGCGCGAGTAAGATTGTTTTGTTTACATCAGCATGATTTTGAAAATCATTGGTTCAGACTCAAGCCATCGAGAATTCGCTAGGAATATTCCCAAAGTTGGAATACTGCGCTTTAAACCGATACCAAACGGAAGCGCCAGTCGAGAAGCGAGCAGAGAAAAACGGCATTTTTCATGGACAAAGGAAAGGTACTCCTCTCAGAAAACACATGAAGATAAAGATACTTTTAGATGTTTAATCGCTATTTGGAGCACTGGGATCGCTAGACGAGGGCTTAATGTTTTTGTAAAAACCCCGAAAATCGATTTTTCACTTGTTTTTCCTGTAGCTCAAAATTAGCCTGTGCATGGGTCACATTATAGAGACTCATACTCAGGAGGAGATGTTACTTTACCTGACCAGAGAAACATCACTCCACTGGAGTTCACTGTGTTCCAATTTCAATTTATCCAATTAACTTAGGATTGTACTGCAATTTCCTGTGGATTTGAATTATCTGAAATGTTGCCGGGAAAAAGATGATGAATAACAGAAGAGAGCAAATGTTCAAATTTGATTAAGCTTTACGTATGTAGGCGTAACCGAAGTTTGGTTGGTTGGTTTAGACAGTCAGCCCATGCTGTAACTTGCCCATTATGCAGGCAATACGCATGTTTCTACACCAGCCCCTATAACCCACTGGTCAGAAATCAGGAACTGCTAACATTTCTAGTCATATAATGTCCTCACCATGTAAAGTTTTCAGAACAACAACAATTCAGTCTAGATAGACTGTTGCAAAAAAACTAGATCAGATTCAACTAGAGATCGCTCTCATAAAAAACAAACCATGAGTGCCTGGGGCCGCAGACTGTTGATGGACAACCATGCCTATTTCTGTCGCACTTTAGTTTTCCCATCCATCTATTATTGTACCCGTTAGATCAAAGCCTGCTCGTGTTGGCACGAATATGCTGAATTAAATCACTTTGGATGTTATATTTTGCTCCCAAATCTAAGAGTAAGTGTCGTAAACAAAGGCTGTGTTGTGTTATGTTTATTTCTGGCCAGCAGCACTCAGTTATGTTGCTGTTCAACTAAAGCCACTCTTAGACTAGATGATTAATTAGCCTTTAAAAAAGCCCTTCAGTAGAGTTGCGGATATTTGGGTTAACAGCAAATCAATTCAATTTGCAATTCACAATTTTTTTTTTAAATCAAAAGATTAGTTTTTTGCTTATTCAGAATGACTCAATTTGATTAATGATGATTCTGTTCAGTATTTTAATGCATTTTGGGATTCTTTGAAGACTTTCCTTAATGTTTCTTTAAAAAAAAAGCCAAACTACTAAAAGAAAACATATTTCTGCATGAACATACAGGCTACTTGTAATACAATACACACACTTGTGCATATCCTACTTAAATCCGAATTCAAGTTTTAGCATTTAAAATAAAATATTGGTTAACAAACACTTTCACAATTTAAGTCATAATGCTTTTTACAATACTAATTGTATCAAAAAGCAGCATTACAGAAAAATAGAAAGAAAAAAAAAATCATAGAAAAATTTAAACTACAGAAAACGGTGCCATAGGCAGCTATGAAATGTGTCTCCTTTAAAGCATAACATTCTGAAAAATGCAGAAACTACAATCAAAAATATAGATAAATTAGTCCACCTGACTAACCGACTAGTCAACTGATGTGGCCCATCCTTGTTGGGAAAAGTTACTTTTTAAAAGTAAAAGTTGAGCTGTTAGTCAATAAACAGGAAGACAAAGTAACTTGAGTTACTTATTTGAAAAGGTAACTCAGATACTAAAAGATATTTAGTTGTAAATGTAAAAGTATTGTGTTACTTTACTAGTTACTTGAAAAAAGTAAAATCTAAAAGTAATCTGATTACATTACCTCAACACTGCTTAAAATGTACCAAATACA